TGCATTGTCTCTTGGAGTTCCTTGGGCTAAGCCTGACAGTAGGCCAGCCCTTGGCAGCCTATTCCACATGTGCATGTTGGCCTTAAATGGTTGACTGTAACAGACTTAATCCCATCCAGTTATGTTCAACTGTAGACAAATGCTTCACGTTCCATTTGGAGTTACAGTGATGTGCATTTGGAGTATTCCAAATTGTAGAAGCCTGGATTGTTCTCTATTGTTTAGTCCATTCTTAGCGTACAAGGGACAACCATGACACCCATCAGGATGAATAGATGTTCCATGCGACCTAAGATTGCAGCTCTTTACCGCTTTGCAGAACATCTGTTGAAGAGAGAGGTTCCTTGGCAGACAATGTGGAAATTTCTTCAAAAGTTGAAAGACTGAAAACCATGGTTAAAGACTGGTCTATCTGAGGAGATGTTTCTTGGTTTGGACAGGGAGGGGCCATCTTTTAAACATTTATTTGTGGTATCTTCCCAATTCAATAGTTCAATATGCCTCTTGCTTGGCTCCTGTAATGGTCTGTGGGAATGGCCTTGGGACACAGGAGGGAGAGCCGTAGACCAGACAACTGGCATGTAAAAGGTATCTCAGCCCACAGAAGGAAAAGGGGTGTGGGAAGTGTTTCAGAAGGGGCCCTCCCTAGTTTTCCAGAGAGTAAAAAGAAAGGAGGGGAGAAATACTTCCAAGATTCTGATAATGCAACCTTACAATAAAGACAGCTAGTATTCATTGTCATGCTTCCTGTCTGTACTACCTCGCAGGGCTAACAGCTCCCCGATTTCATGGATCTCTTGAATGTGCCCATCCAGTGAAAACTTATCAGGAAGGCCTGCTAAGATTCCCCCCTCTATCTGAAGTTCAGGGGATACAGATAAGATGACAAACCCCTCTGTGGTGGCCCCCACACTTTGGAGCTCCCGATCCCCAAGATCTGGAAAAGCTTATCCTTCATGGCATATAGAAAAGAATTGAAAACGGTTTTATTCCATTGAGTCTTCAGTCGTAGTTCAGTATGGCTAGCATCCATCTTGAGAAGGGTTGGTTTATTATTGTTGTTAGTTTTAATGTTTTTAATGTATTGTAAGCTCTTCCGAGTCATTCATTCATTCATTCATTCATTCATTCATTCATTCATTCATTCATTCATCAAATTTCATTGCTAGGTTAAATAGGTCTTTTTCATTTATTCGGCTGTGATTCTAGCCTGCTCAAATCAAAATTAATGTTTTTAATGTATTGTAAGCGCTTCCGAGTCATTCATTCATTCATTCATTCATTCATTCATTCATTCATTCATTCATCAAATTTGTATAGCCACCCATCTCACAAGAAGTGACTCTGAATGGCATAACACAATCAAATAAAAACAACAATTATATAAACGCAATCATTGTAAAAATATAAAATAGTCATCATTCAAAAGTAAAGTATATTAAAAAGTAAAATATACAAACCACAGGCCTGGGGAGAATGAAGTTATCAATAGTGGAGCCATCTTAAGATGTTATTAGTTCCCAGAGACCCCCAAGCCTGGTGACATAACCAGGTCTCAAGGGACTTCTGGAAATTAACAGGGATAATGATTTTGATTTGAGCAGGCTAGAATCACAGCCGAATAAATGAAAAAGACCTATTTAACCTAGCAATGGTGCATTGATTGTCATTACCTGAATTCTGCTGCTTGCAAGCTACAGTTGACATCAGTGTAGAATTTTGCAAGAATTGGAAAGTTGGACAAGAACAGAAGGAGACCAGAATAATTGCCTTGCTGTGCTGGAATGGCTTGATTCTTCCTAAGGAAAACAGGCGGTCAAGTGCAGACTTTCTTAAGCCTGCTGAGATAGAAACCACCCTCATGCTGATCTGAGGGTGCAGAAGTTCAACTGCAGGCACATTCTGCCATATTGTCACCAACAGGCCTTTTCATTCTCCCTTCTGCCAGCTGTCAGTCTTCCCAGGAGATGCATTGAAAATAATAATTTGGAAGATGGAGAGTGTTAATCAGCATGACTAACTTGAATTTAATCACAGGTTGGATATAAAGCAGCTGAGAAATTGAGCAGGAACTAATTGGAGCCAGACGTAGAAGGTTGCCCATGAGTACCATAAAGGATGTGATGTTGTAACTTTATAGGTTTCCTTGGGAGTAAGTCCCACCTTCATATTTAAATGTTGGATAGGTTGCTGTCAGTCAGTCTTCTGGAATTAGCTGCTCACCAGATGTGTTGGGTTCAATTCCTAGAATTTCTAGCTCACGTGGCCTTTGGCCAGAGAGTGCCCATGGCTCCTGTAGGGGATCAGGTATTCCAAGCAGGCAGATGAATGGAGAGGTGGAGGAAGAGGCAAGAGAAACTCTTGGCCATGGCCACCAGGCATGCGTACCAAGTAGGTTGCTTTACTTCCAGAGAAATACTTCTCCAAGCCTTTCTGGCAGATCCAACAGGCCGTTCAGCTTTTTTACAATATAGTCATGTTTTGTGAACTTCGTAGGGGTGAGGGTTCTTTGCTTTCCAAGGACTGGACCCCCAACAGCGTAGCAGATCGGTACACAATGCTTTATTGTGGCACACACCTTCCCCAACAACAAGCTATTGCGCTGGGTTAACTCCACCCTCCTAGGCCTATCAAGTTGAGGTAGCCACGTAAATATGTCTTTAAAGCAAACAAAAGTCTCAACATCTGTAAAGTGGCATACAAGCTTTCCCTCCCTCCAAAAGTTCTTGCTCTGGTTGGGATGAGGCGCTGCCTCAGTGTCGTTGCTCCTTTTCTGGTTGCTGCTGAGATCCCATCAAATTCAGTCGGACATTACTTGGCGGGAACATGGAAGCTGCCGGCGAGATTTAGACTGGAAAACTAATAGAGACAGCTGTGAGGGAACGCGCATGCCGCTTTCAACCATTTTCTTGTCACATATTTGTGGCTCTTAACTTTCTGTTTGTGAGATTATTTTTGGATGGCTGATTACTGGAAAGCAGAGGGGAAAAAGAAAATGCTGTACCTGAGGAAAGATTTGTTCTCACCGGCCATGTAGATTTTCAAGTATTTGTGGTGTGGTGTGGTGTGGTGTGCTCAGAGGCTCTGTGTGTTTAAGGACTGGAAAGTTGTGGCAGAAAACTAATTTAGTTCTGTAGATATGTGTTGAATGGAAAAGTCACTTGCATTCTGGGTCCAAAAGGAAGTGACCAATAGTCCAAACACTTGGGGGGAGGATCTGATTCAGAAATTTCCTGGGGAGCAAAGAAAAAATGCAGATTAACTGGAACTAATTTTGTCACCTTCCTCATCCCTTCCAAGTTTGCATACTTAGGATGCAACAAAGAAAGCAGTGGAAAGGTTTTGTGTAAGACGTTGACCTGCAATATCGGTATCACATTTCTTTTCATCATTTATTGTACTAAGGACATCTAAAATAAGAAAATCTTCATCTTTTTGTCTGTCCATACCACTGTTTCCCCTCCCCACCCAATCTCTACCTATTTCTACTTCCTTACTACAGGCTGGGAAGCCTAGTTTGCCAGATTCTGACAAAGCCATTTTGGATATCCTAGAACATGACCGCAAAGAAGCTCTTGAGGATCGCCAGGAGTTGGTCAACAGGATCTTTAATCTCCAGGAAGAGATCCGTCATGCAGAAGACCTCCGAGATAAGGTAAAGTAGAAACCAAGGAGGTAGAAGGAATGAGGCCAGAAATTCAGACTTGTTCTAGATCTACCTAATGTAGGTTCTCAGTCTGCTATACTCAGTCTGGATACTCCTTTCATTGCTAATGTTTTTTACTTATTTTGTTACACCGAAATTATCTATGTAGCAATATGATCCAACTTTATGTCTTTCCACAATGGTGGACCTCAGTTCCCATAAAGGTGGAACTTCTGAGAGTTGGACCAACATATTCAGAAGGGACCAGTTTGTGGAAAGCAGATTAATATAATGTTGTTGGTGATTTTGAAGGAGTTCAGAGACAGGAGGGGTCCCTCACCCCCACTTTTTGGGAAATGCTGCCTCTAATACTGTACTTATTAAATTGATGTACTTATTAAATTGACCCTACATCAATGGGTCAAGAAGACAAAGTCCTTCCATGCCATCTGTGATTCTAAGGGCCTTGCCTTCTTGCCCCATTAACATTCCCACAGGAGCAGCTTCTCCAACTTTAGGATTTAGGATGATTTGCAGCAAGATCATAGCACATAGATTTGGAGGAACATCTTATCAAATCCTCATCCCTTTTGCAAGCAGCCAGGGTGAAGGTGTGACTTGCAGAGTGAAGTTCTGAGTTTTGGAACAGGCTGGATCTTGATTGATGGCCTTGATGGACAGGTGTATTCATTTATTTCCTTCTAGTATCTTGAGGAGAAACAAGAATTGGAGTTAAAATGCTCAACTCTGGGGAAAGACTGTGAGATGTACAAGCATCGCATGAATACGGTCATGATACAGCTGGAAGAAGTGGAGAAGGAGAGGGATCAGGTACTTGAAAATATAAGAGGGCTGGGAATTCAGCAGGGCCAGCCCTCTGGTACCAGATGCTGGGGAAGGGGGAGGTGTGGGTGGTAGAACACCCATTGATTATATTGTATTGATTTAGTCAGCTGACTTTCCACTCACTAGAACACTCAGAGCAGATGACAAGTTTAAAAATACACACACACAATTCAAAAGAGAAAAATGAAACAAAAAATAAAAGCAAGGCCTTTTGAACCACAAATATTAAAATCATGAATGCATGTAGCCCCTTCTGTTGGAGAATGGAGACGTGTCTGCATGAAAACCTTTCCTGAATCCCCTCAGCTGGAGATCAGAGTTTGGAATCCTGTCGGCACAAGGTGGCCGCCTCTGCGTTAGACAAGTGGGACATTTGTCCAAGGTTGCAGCCATAATGTTTCTTTCATTTTGGCTTAGCACGTGGGGTGAACCCAGACTTTGCAGACTACAAACTATGATTTGTGGTTTAGTGAGTTGCAGTTTGTTTAATATGCCATGGATAAACAAACCATATCTTAGCAAGTATATGAATCCAGCTCTTGTGGCTCTGGATTTGTGAGAGGAGTTGCAATTGGATCAGACCTTTTCTTGGCTCACTGGCTGAAGGAGATGCAACTTTACTACTTCCCTATTCATGGAAGTTTTCTCTTTCGCTAAGGCAGAAGACTGTGAATTCAGTGTGGTAGGTTTGGGGGGTTCTACCACTTCAGCCAAATTGCTGGCTCATCCCATTTTATGGGAGGGGAGAAATCCCATCTGAAGGAAATGATGATCTTCACAGAGTAGGAGTCCTTCAGCAGCTTTTTAGTGATGTTGAACTCTTGGAATTGTTTTCCCTTCGGAGGCATTCCATTCACGTGATGAGGCCCAAATACAATATTCCCAATGCCTGATTGAGAAGGACAAGCACCGGAAGCAGATTCGGGAACTGGAGGAAAAAAACAATGATCTGCGGATTGAAATGGTCCGGAAGGAAGCAAGCATCATCAACCTGGAATGCAAACTCAGGCGCCTCTCGAAGGACAACTGTTATGACCAGGTAGTTCCCTCATTCGGGGCTGCTGCTGGTGATTTGTGGGTCCCAAGTAGCTTCATTGGAGCGGTTGCTGTGTCTACTGGGCCCTCTGGGGATAAAGCAGCCATTGGGCCTTCCTTGAGATGGGCTGGGGGGCTCATCTCATCCATTGCAGTTCATCCATTGGATGAGGCAATACAATGTCCAGTGGCCACCTGGCTCCCGTTTCCTGGAAGTATGGCTGCTGAGTCAGTGGTGATTTTGAGGGGACAGGAAGAAGGCATCTAGTGGACAAAGTAGATGGGGTTGGAGGAATGGCCATCAGCTTTGGCTCTTCACACATTACTGTTTTGTTTGAATAAACACTCAAGGGGTGTTGAAGTGAATTACCTTTTACAGATGCTGCACAAAATATTCAGGAGCTGGCATTGGTGACTGTCCCTTGCGAGGCCCATGTAGGGAGTCAAATTTGTGTTTGCAGCTGTATAATACTTGAAACAGCCAGATCCTAATTTGGAGGAAGAAATGGGTTTTCTCTTTATTTCACACTCTTTAGTAAAAGAGTTGTTGGGAGGTCAGGATGGGAAGAGGTTTGTTTTAGAACATCAGCAGTTGACATGGCCCTGCTTGAGCAACTGGCCATAAGATGGACCAAATGTAAAATCAGAATCTGAGTACAATAGGTAAGAAGTATTGGAGAAGTGGAATGATGCTTTGCAATGATAATGAGTTTTTGCTTTGAGAAGTCTGTAGCAGAGGATGGAGAGAAGAATAGAGAGAGAAGTAATGGGCAGATGTATTATTTCAGTTACCTAGAGTCTCATTACAATAGGATATTGGGCATAGAAAGGTGTGTTCACAAGGTAATGGAGAAGATGGATTTTGTAGAACCAGATTCAACAGAACAAAACTCACAGAGTCGGAAGAGGTCCAGTGAAGCTTGACAAGGTCCACTTTAAGGCTCAGTTCCTGATCGCTGTCATAGATGAATTCAACGAAGGCCACATGGAGCTTGCAGGTTTTTAAAATCCATCCTCTTGTTTGCTTCCAGAGTTTACCACGGAATTTGCCATTCACTGTGATTTCTCAGATGCTAGAAACCCCCAGACCCAAAACCAATGGCCAGGAGGCGGATGATTCCTCAACTTCTGAAGAGTCCCCTGAAGATAGCAAGTTCTTTCCCTTGGATCCACCCCAGTTTAGGAGAAGATTAAATATTAAGGGCTTCCAGGTACAATTCATATGAGGCTGGGTTGCTGGAGGACAACCTTCAGAAGTTTTAAACAGCCAACTCTCATGGATGGTTCAAATGGTTTTCCTGCTCCCTGCAAGGGCTGGACTGCATGATCCTGGTGCCCCCTTCCAAGTGTACAATTCTAGGATTCTGTGAATTAGGCATTGAGCCCAGCCAGGCTCAATGTTCTCATGCAAGTCCTTCCTTTTGTCAGTCATCCTAACTGAACAACTTCAAATTTCATCCCTGTGAAGCAGGGTGGATTGTTGGGTTGCCTATCCTGTAGCTCCAGGACTGTTTGTGGTCCTTAGTCAGATTTCATTGCAGCCCTTGGATGTCCCCTTAAGAGTTTTGCAAACTCTACCACATCTGTCCCTCCTATCTTATGTTTCCTTGGTGTTTTCTTCTTAAATTTGTAACAGTGCAATTACTTTCCCAAAATACCAGAGTGGTGTTATAATTAGACCACTGATGCTTCAGTTCCAGAGGAGAGGTGCAAAGTCACTGCTTACCACGGGGGAGGTGTGGGAGAGGTCTGTTCTATGGGGAATGGGAATGCGTGTCCCACATTCAGTTTGATTTCTGCTCTCTTTCAGCCGCCAAGAACAAAATCCCCCATCAGTACGAATAAGGCATCAGATTTTCAAGGTCAGAGGAACAAAAACTCATGTTCTTGTAGTCGCTGGCTTTTCAGATGTCTCCTTAACATTTAAGCTACTTCATTTGTTCCAAACTAGCAGCTTCCAAGTAAATAAAACTATTCCCAAGAGATTTTTTTTTCTTTTTTTTCCCCCTCCTCTTCCTGACAGCAAACCCTTTTAAGCAGGCCTTGAAATGGACAGGTGATTGGGACAGTATTTTTTCCCCATTCCTCTAGCTGGAATGTTCTCACTCAAAGCAGTGTGATTGTCAAAGCAGCTAACCTGAGCCCCTGGACTAGACAATAGCTTTGCAGAGGAAGAGAGAGATTTATTTATTTGTTAGATTTTCATCCCTTTATGTTGTCAACTCAATATGGTATACATAATTAATGCTCCAGTCTCCTGTTTTCCCTACAGCCACCACCCTATGAGGTGGGTTTGGGCTGAGAGAGAGCGGGACTGGCCCAAAATCACCCAGCCAGTTTTCATGCCTAAGGCGGGACTAGAACTCACCATCTCCTGGTTTCTAGCCCAGCCCCTTAACCATGACCCTAAACTAGCTCTCAGGACTAGATCCCTAGTCCATTTTGTCACACAGTGGGATAAAAAGATTTTCTCCAAGATAATCTCTCCCCAACCTGGTCTTTCAGTTCTCCCACTGGTGCAACCATCACCACTGTAACTAAGACCCTCCACCTTGCTGCTGGTCATCTTCTTCTCTTTCCTTCCACCTTTCTCAGCATTATAGACTTCTCCAGAGAGCTGGATCTTTGCATAATGTGTTTGAAGTGTGATTATTTGAGCCTGGTCATTTGTGCCTTGAGTGAGAACTCTGTGTTGATTTGTTCAATGGTCCATTTGTTTTCCTGAATGTCCACAGTATTCTCAGGAGTCTTCTCCAACTCCAAGAAACTATTAAGCAAACATTTGCTTACAATTCAAACTGATGATTGGAGTGAAGGTAATATTAGACAACATTATTTGAGCCTGGTCATTTGTGCCTTGAGTGAGAACTCTGCGTTGATTTGTTCAATGGTCCATTTGTTTTCCTGAATGTCCACAGTATTCTCAGGAGTCTTCTCCAACTCCAAGAAACTATTAAGCAAACATTTGCTTACAATTCAAACTGATGATTGGAGTGAAGGTAATATTAGACAACAAGGTGCCCATGGAGACCAGGAGAATCCACAAAAGTTAAATAAAAATTAACATTCAGCCTTTGGGGGATCTCACAATCTTGACTGAGTTACCAAGCAAGAAGTAGGGAATCTCATAAGATATCAACCATTTTTTTTAATGGCTGAAAGAGGTTGCTGATAACCAGATTAAAGGCTTTATAGGAGGAGAATGCAGCAGGTCTAAAGAGCACAAGAGATAACTTTTGAAAAGAGGGTTTCATTTTCTGTGGGTTCCAGGAGGACTTGTATCTTTCTGCTCAGATACGCCTCAGATCCTGAGTCATTGAATAAAAAAAAAAAAAGGTGGATAAGAAATCAGGAGATATTTCCTTGGTTATGTATTAGGGAAAAAATCCACAAAGCAGGGGTGCGGGGCACAATTATAAAGCAAACTAGAAGAATGTATTAGAAACCTTGTTTGGACAAAATGACACGCAAGGCACAATGCCAGCAACTTGGTTGTTTCTCTTTCTCTCTGACTATATCCACTTTTGTTGTTTGTCGACCCAGCAGTTCGAAGCCACGAGGAAGACAAGAATGATGCCAGCCACAGCCACACAGAAGCTCATCCCACGTCCATCAACAGTTCAGTGGGCAGCTGCGAAGTTAGCAAAATTGTAAGGAATTTGAAAGCCTGATCTTTTCCTATTACACGGGTATGGGCTTTCTTTTTCTCTGTTGCCAACTCCAGTGGTTATGAAACAGAAGGTCTCTCCAAGCTGCAGCCTAAATTCTTTAATATGTTTTTTTTCCGTGCATGAACGTTATTAGTCTGCTCTGTTTAACACACACACACACACACAATCGCTATCACCTATCCAATTGCTAACTCCTGTTTACCTGAAGATATTTCAGCAGTCTTTCCCAGTTTTATTTCTCCATTTAAACAGGGGTTTGGGAGGAGAGAAACGGGAAAGGCTTTGTGATTTTGCTGAATTGCAAAGGTTGGACTTTTTTTTGTTAAAGAAAAACATTTTAGACTCTTTACAACTGTCTGAGCCCTCCATATCCAAAAGCTGAAGCTGCATCAGAAAATGAGGTTGCTGGCCAGCCGGAGGCTCTATCTGACAACAGCTGATCTGTTTCTTCCTTGGAGGAATATATTCCCACAATCTCTTACACTGGATGTTCCATTGCACAAGGATGTCATCACAAGCCCAGCAGGGGCAGTTAAGTATAGAAAAAAGAGCAGTAATAAAAAAGGCCAGGTGAAGAATAAAAGACACATTTATCAGAAGGCTGTACTAATCAGTGCCTTCCAGCAGTGAAATGAACTCACTTTCACTTGGTGATGACAATGACCTGAAGCCACCTGGATTTCTACTCTGAATTGGTGCTGCTGAGAAATCCACAGTAAGGATGTCTGCAGGGAATGGGGTCAAAAACTCAAGACGGCAGCTATGACTCCAAATCAGAGCCCCACTCAAGGCTAGGCAGGGCTTTGATGGTAGGGTAGGGACCGTCAACCCCTTGCTTATGGACACCCCGGTCTAGAGCAGTGTTTCTCAACCTTGGCAACTTTAAGATGTGTGGACTTCAGCTCCCAGAATTCCCCAGCCAGCATGCTGTTGCAGTTGAAGTTCACCCATGCTGGGTGGGGAATTCTGGGAGTTGAAGTCAACACATTTTAAAGTAACCAAGGTTGGAAAACACTGTGATAGATGAATTTGCTGGCCAGTTTAAAGGTAGATGAAGATTCTTGCAAAGAACCAACCCCATGAGCACAGTGTTTCTCAACCTTGGCAATTTTAAGATGTGTGGACTTCAACTCCCAGAATTCCCCAGCCAGCATGGATTGGTGATTACCCTCAAAATGTGCTTTCTTTCCCCAACAACCCTGTATATACCCTTTCCCCCTTTCTAGTGTTCCCTAATATCCATTATTTAGACATAGCTGCAAAACTGAACCTGGTGTATATCAACTTTCTGGACTGAGAAAAATGCCCACGAACGCTTCTTGTAAGTGCCACCAATGCTATTGGAGAGTCTGCTCAAGGGAAACTAAGACCACTCCCCAAAGTATCAGTCCAGAAAGTCAAGTCAAGTCAAGTCAAGTCAAGTCAAGTCAAGTCAAGTCAAGTCAAGTCAAGTCAAGTCTTGTCTTGTCTTGTCTTGTCTTGTCTTTCCTTCCTTCCTTCCTTCCTTCCTTCCTAATTTAATCACCGCCCATCTCACTCAGTGAGCACTCAACTCAGCACCTGCAGGTTTGACCACAACTCAAGTCCCCCCAAGTATCCCACCATTGCCTTAATATATTTCTTTTCAGAAAGCTTTATACATGCTGTACATTTGCTTTTGTATTTTCCAGTGATGCTTTCTTGGTGTATGTTGTTGTTGTTCAAATTGTTTTGATAGACTTGTTCCATTTCTTCTTCTTTTTGTAATGTTTGACAGCCCTGTCTGTTTGTTTTTCTTACTCTGTGCTGGTGTAAGCTGCCTTAAGCTGCCTCCCTTGTAGATGGTAGAGTCTTGGAATCCTATGAAATAAACATAAATTAAAATAATCTCCCCCATGTTCCAGGGCGAACCTGAAAAACTGATTTCATGGCTTAAATTGAAGCCATTGGGGGAGAAGAAGGAAGGGAAAAACCCACCCATTAGTTATTATGTAAATCACTACAGTACTCTGAGATGAATAGACTGCTGTATTCCGCATAACGGGAATGGTATCACACGCCTGCCATTAATGCTGGAAAAGAATCGAAATAGGAACCTCTTGAAATATTCAACTCAGCCTAATATCCAACCCACACATAAGTTGGTGGCAATGGAAGTGGCTATCTCTATATGTTTTGGCCCCTTCCGGTTATATTTGGAATGCATCCATGCTCTTCCATACATTCATCCACACATTCACACATGCTCTTTTGCTCAAGGTGATTTATTTCCTGCTTCCCTTATAAAATGGGCTAGCTGCTTTTCATAATAGCCACCATCCTAAATTCTGTTCATAATTCCAAATAGAATTAAAGAACTCAGTGGATGAAAACCATAATGTTGGGACAACAGAATGAAAGTTAGGAGATGCAGAAGCGCTGATTCGTTCACAAACAAGCACGTTTTCCACTGCGGCGGAAAACTCACAAAACTTGGCATCATCTACAACTGGACTGAAGGAGATGATGCCCACAAACTGAGCCTTCAAGGACTGATGGTTCTGCAGTCCCTGGGAGTGAAGCCCCCAGTCTCATTCCAAGTAGATGTTTGCGTAATTGCACCATTGACAAGTTCTGTTTGTTTTATTTCTTGGTCTTCCCTTCTGAAACCCAGCAAACCTTGAGATATCGCTGCGCCAGCATTATGTCCACTACCCCGGAGCCTCCAGGGAATGACTCTATCCTCCGACGTAACAAAGATGTCCCTCACTCCAGGTAAATGCCACTTGGCCAACTGGGGAAAAAGGAAGGGCTTATATGAGCCAGGGAACTTGGAAGAAAACTAAGGAGTTGGGGGAGCACAATTAAGGTCAGGGTCTAGAAGAGTTGCCATACTGAAGGCAGTCTCATGGTGGCGACAGCTGGGAGGAATAATGGCACTTCCTAATGATGAGCAGAGATGGACTTGCCCTTAATGACGTAACCATCTCAGGCACCCTTTGCTGGGAAGGACAGGAAGAGGTTAGTGGAAAGTCCTATGTAGGTGGGCTCTGACAACCTCCAAGCTACCCAGCTGCCTTCAAATTCACTGGTGGATATAACCTCATCACTGGTCGGTTTATGGATGCAGAATATGCAAAAGGTGGGACATCATCCTGATATTTGTGTGAGGGTTCAAATCCCATCAGCTAGCTTTGGGGACGATGGTTCTTTCTATTGTGTAGTGGTATCCTTCACCACCAGCCACCCATTGCTTAAGATGTCCATGGCCATAACATACTTCTCAGTGGACATCTGTGGGAAGGATGGCAGCCGGTGGCAATGCAGAAGAGCTCACATTGCCCTAAGACACAACTCCCATAGTTCTGACCCCCTCCAAGAAAAAAGGTTGATATTGCATCTCATCCTCCAAAATAATAAGAGTGAGAATGGATTAGCATGTCTGGGTAAAGGGAAGCCTTAAATTAATAAGCAGATTTGCACTTGGCATCGGTAGCTTAATATCATTGCTGGATCCCTGTAGGGCTCATTTCAGGGAAAGAAAGAAAAATAAATGTGGAGGGCATATTGGTACATACCAAAAAAAGGGTATGACACTTGTCAGGGTTTGTTTGGGGTTACCACTATGTATGGGGTTCTCCCACCTTTCTTTACTTACCTCTGATCTTTGTGCAATCTTTTCTCCATGTACTGTCATTCTACTTTTTAATCATCTTCTCTTTCCAAGGTCCTCTCTAAAATCTATGGGGCCCAGGTCAAATGCTGTGGTATATACATAAACAACCCCAGTTTATCACCCAGGCAGGCAAATGTTTAACCCTATTTCCCTGGATCCTTTCTCCAACCAAACTCTCACCTCCAGAAACTGTTGTGGTCTGATTGAGGAGGAACACAGATGTGAGATGACGCTGAGTCATTTCTCATTCCACCCGGACGGCAATGCAGACAATTACAGCCTTTCTCAGTTCCATTACCTTGAGCCAATTTAAAATCCCCACAGCTAATGTTAAACTTTCTTTTAAAAAAAATCAGAGAATTCAATCACAAGTATCTTATGTCGAGTTTTATAACCAAGAGAGTTTTTCCACGCCCGATCCATTCCAGATAGTATGTAACAGTGGTGTGCTGGCAAAGGTGTGTAGAGATTGTAATTTTTATTTTCCCCAACCCAAGTGAAAATATGCAGTGGAAACTGCCTTCCCCTGATCATGCTACAGTGGAAAACATTTACTATGTGATTCTGCTGATGGTATAACATGATCCAAGACGAGCATTATCATTAATTCAATGTTCTCGTACGTCTGTTAAGCATTCCTTGATCTGATTTACTAGGACAATTCTAAGAGCTAAATTAGACCTTCCTCACAGACACAGGTAACGTTCATCTGATGTTTTGAAATGAAAATCAGTCAGTCTCAGGTGGCCGTGACTGGAAGAGGGTACTGAATGCATTGATGTATAACCTCAACTCCTACAGCAGAAAAAAGATCCATTTTCTCTGTGGGAAGTTATGATCCCTGCAGGAGCAATTGTGAGTACAAAAAGTGAGCCTGAAAAGATTTATATACATTCCTTCTCCTCGGCTGCTCCTCTCCTTCCAGTCATAGCCTCCAGAAGCTTCTTTTCCTTTCAAAAATTGGGAGCGTTGTGTGTAACATGTAGTTTGGCCCTCGACTACATGTAGGAAGCTGCAGCCTTCATTTTTCTGCTGCCTTTGAAGGGTGTTGGCCATTCTTCTCTTGTTGTGCTAGAGAATATAGTGCAGGTGCTAACATTAGCAAAAGGGACCACCCTTGTGGCAGAGGGTGGGAGCGTGGAAGAAATTGTCCAAATGGGTTTGCTTGCATTTAGTAAAGTGATCAATGCAATTCTACTGTTCCAGTCACCTGAAAAACCCTTGTCATTTTCAACAACAACAACAATAATATCATCATCATCAACAACAACAAAAACATAGCTCCAAAGTTATATTAGGGCCATCTGTGCAGCAAACTGTGACATTTCAAAGACAAGAGCTGGAAATGGTAAGAACAACCAGATCTTGTCTTTTGGAGAGCATCATGACACCCACCTGATGTCTCCCATCCCAAAGGCTTCTCTTTTGGAGAGTATCATGACACCCACCTGACATCTCCCATCCCAAAGGCTTCTCTTTTGGAGAGCATCATGACACCCACCTGATGTCTCCCATCCCAAAGTCTTCTATTTTGGAGAGCATCATGACACCCACCTGATGCCTGATGTCTCCTTTATTTAGGAAACAGTTTCTTGTTCTGTTGTGTCCCTCTCTTGGTGGCTCCTTTTCCAATCTTGTCTTCTTCACTTCGCCTACCTGTCTGTCTCTCTTGGCACCGCTCACTCTTTCATGGCCACCTCTGGCCACCTCCTACATTAGAGATGTTCTGACTCTGAGATTTGAGCTACCTGCTGATGAATATTAAGTGCAAACTAGACATCATGGAGAGAAAGGGAGAGATCAATGTGTATTCCTTCATTCCAGTTTGACTGAAGAAGACAACGACAGCTTTGGCTGTGATGCTTTGGAATTAGAAGGTAAGAGACTTGGAGGGTGCTCTTCTTTTTAAAAACCCATGTTTTGATTAGCATCATTTGATGGACTGGGTTGTTCTTCTGGACCTTATTTAGACCTTATGACTTACTTTATGGAGGAAGAATCCCTGTTGGAAAGCCTGTCCAGCCCCAGTCCAGTTTAAAGATAAAGGCCCATTAGAAAGAATACCAAATTGTCCATCCACAGTTCCTGTCTGGACTGAGCAGGCAGGATGAAGACTACCTGTCCTACAACTTTCCTTTCTAGGCAAAGGATTATCCCATTTGTATTTCAAGTATAATAATGGTTTCCAAATCTGCATTTATGTATCATGTGCAGTGATTTGCAAATGGCCTTTCCCTTATTAGGGGTGCCTCTTGTGCCTTTTCTACTTCCCCATTCTTCTATTCTTACTTGGAGGCACCTGGGATCTTCTGCGCATGAAAACAAGAGCAGGGGAAGGCTACCAGAAGTTTGGGAGGTCAAGACCGGACACCTGGATAGCGCCAAAACTGGAGAATCGCCATTCTGGCACCGAGTGACATGGCCAACTGTTGAAGGGGCAGTGCAACCATACTTAAGTTTCCCTTTTCTGTATTCCACTCCCATGCTACAGCAACAACAACCTAGGGTCACAAAAACCAAAGTAGGGTTGGAACTAGTTAGTGGGTGGGAGGTTACCAGAAAATCTAGGGCTGTAGACGAGACCAGGAAGTCAAAAACACATCCTGGAAGATGGTATTAGCAAAGCATTTCCATTAAAAAAAAAAATCACAGTTTCCTTCAGGTTGAACTTGATTCCTGGTGATTTGGGACATGTTCATGTAGGCTTTTTGGCAACAGTAAGGATGTGGTGTGCCAACTGCTTTCTTCCAGAATGTTTTTCAACTTCTGAACCCAGGCAAGGTCAGCCAGGAGCTTGCTGCTATCCAGAAAACTACACGGATGGGTCCATAAGGAGGTCACCAGGAGACAAACTGGATTGGAAAGACCTCCTTGCCATTTTTTATGAACCCAAAGATAACCCATTCAGGCAATACGTTGAGTCAGGTCTACATCTCAATCTATTTTTTTTCCTCCTGCTTTCCTGCCTTTGACAAGGATATCTCTTCCTCCATATCCATCCATTTTATTGATTGATTGATCGATCGATGTATTTATTTATTTATTTATTTGGCACTTCCTTTTCCAGATGATGTCCATGACAGGTATTCCTCACTACCTTCCTCCTCATCTTCCCACCATTCTGAAGGGCTGGACCTAGAACAAGTCAATTCCATCTTCAGGAAGTTCTCTCTGGAAAGGTATTTGGAGAAGGTTGGCTCGAGGCAGCAAACAATGCTACTTTTAGGCTGCTGTAGATACTCAGCAAAATGGAATTGCCCCTTTTTCTTGAACTGTACCACTGCTGGGGGATACTTTTGGAATGCACATGAAGGGCTGCCGCATAGGGAATCCAGGAAAAATGTTCTTTAACTCTTCTAAAGAATAAATCAGGGCACATAAATTGATGTTAAAGCAGAAAGATGAGGGAAGTAAAGCTTGGAGAGTAGAGACCTGAAATGATTTGCGAGTTCCTGATGCTGGTATTCAAGCCAAATTTTGGAAAGGTCATAAAGCTTTTTGCACACACCAGATATTTCAGAAGTCTATTACCATTGTTTCATTTCCTGCTGTATTTGTCCTGGGTCTGAGTTCCTATTAATACTGTGCCAAACTCTACTTGAGATTTTTGCCAACTTTCTCTTTTGCTTTTCTAACTCAAGTTCCAGCCGCTTAAGAATTTCTTCTGAATTCCTCTTGTGGCTGTTTTTGGAGCAACCTTATGATTGGAGATGTCCCAAAGAGCAACTGCTGGTGTAGCTTTCAGCCCCACATCTTTCTAATCCCCTGCGACCTCCCTCCCTCACTACCTCCTACATGTGCAACAGTTCTGCACTTCTGAATTTCAAGCAAATTCTCATTCCACGAATGCTGGTCTACGACCGTCATAAGGATTTGATTTGACTTCTTATTCAGTGAGACTGAATGAGGAATAGTAGGAAGGAAACTGCCCAGCACTTGCTCCCCGGGTCAAGATTCACAAAAGGGCTCAACAGGAACTGTCATTTAACTCCTTAGTCAGCACTCACTTGACTTTGGCAGAAGACTCTCAGATGAAGCTTGGTTAGTTAGACTCATCATGCAGTCAAGAAGGAAGCTGTGAACATAGCAGATGATTGCTCACTGCAGTGCAAAGTCAGAGCCTTCATCTATAGCAGTGCTCCAGAGTTTAAACCCTTGACTTTTTCCTTCTACCCTTCTGAATTAATGAGTACTTGGCTAATCTCTTGATGGCCTTGGGAGGCTTCTGACATACATTGACGTAACAATTCTCTCTAACCTGGGAACAGCTGGTTCCCCCCCCCCATCTCAGCCCTCATTCCAGGTGATTTGAGAAACCAAGAAGAATTTATCCCTCTTTCCTTGACGTAGGCCGTTCCGCCCCTCTGTGACATCTGTTGGACGCCTCCAAAATGTCTTCCATGCCGTCCAGCAAATAGTTGTCAATGGGGACAGTCTGAGCTCAGAGATCACTTTGCTGGGAGGGAACGTCAAAGGAAGCTTTGTCCACTCGGTGAAGGTGAACTCCCCAGCAGAGAAAGCTGGCCTCCGGGAAGGGTACCAACTGCTTCTGGTGAGGCTTCCATACTTTCCAGTCACTGCAACCATTCCTAAGGATGGTCCTTCACGTTTCCTTGAAGTGATGAATGAATGAACATTTCTTATTTTCCCTGCTTCCTTGCTGCAACCAAGGGCCACATTGCCTGGGGCAGAATTTTCAACTTAAAAAAAAAACAAAATCCTTTTAAGAAAGGTACATATTAGAGGCATCAGCCACCTTCTCATTCTATTTCCTTCAAAAAAATCTACAGAACCAAATCACATTATGCTGTTATGGGTGACTGGGGTGGGTGGGGACGGGTTTCTGTTGCTAAATTTCAGTGGCATGGTCTTGGGGGTCTCCTTGGGTGCAAAAAGAGAGAGAGGAAAGGGGGGATTTGAGCTGAAGGAAGCTGTGGGTTGCTCACTCCTGACTTATACAGGCAACTGTGAAATCAGTCCTGCCATCACAGAAGAATGCCAATAAGGGCCAAGGCTGAAAATATTGAGGGAGCCTTTAAACACATGGGAGAAAGTCAAAGGCTGCCTATGGGGTGGTCATAAATTTCCCCCCTTTCCCAGGCCTGTTTGTTGATCCCAATTTGCAGCAGTTCTTCCCCAGTGGAACTTGCCTCCATTTATCACCTCCCATTTGCAGAACATAGGTACCCAAACCAACCATTTGCATGCAACATGTATTCCAAATGAATATTAGCTGCGTAATTTAGTAGGTGGAATTAATTTCCTCAGGGAGAGAAAAAAGCTGTGTTCCTATCACCAGGTGGAGGGTTGCATCAGAGGAGAAAATATGAGCGTTCCCCTGGATACTTGTACAAAGGAAGAAATTCACTGGACGATTCAGAGATGTAGTGGACCAGTCACACTGCACTGTAAACCAAATCATGAGGGTAAGATATCACACTTTTGAATCTTCTGACAAGTATGCCTGTTTATTTGTAGCGTGTGGGGCCACATAAAGGGACAGGAGAATTGATCTCTGCAGGCCAGAACAATCTATTACCTTTTTTTTAAAAAAAAAAAGAGCTCTTGATTATTTTCATGATCACCCATAAAAGTTGGAGATGCAGAGTTGAAGTTGTTCCTATATTTGATAGCTGTGCCCCCAATTCAGAATCGTATAATGTGAAATTTGATCCTGGATAGATAGGCATTGTTGTGTCTATGGAACAATCACAGTATGAATTAGATCAGTGGCTGGTAAATGTGTGGACTTCAACTCCCGGAATTCCCCAACCAGCATGCTGGCTGAGGAATTCTGGGAGTTGAAGTCCACACATGCTGGCTGGGGAATTCTGGGAGCTGAGATCCATACATCTTAAAGTGGCCAAGTTTGAAAAACACTGATTTAGATCATTAAAGTCCTAGAACACAACTGCGTTCATGACTTCATGTTTCCCTTTGTCAGTTCAGGAGCTGTTCAAAGTGGTTATGAAAACACATTAGAGACACGGTTGTGGAAAAGGTGGGACACGAACGCACTTCCTTTGTTTTGCCCAGTTGTGAGCATGTCAGTGTTTTCTATATGCAGACTGAGCTGTGAATTATGCGTCTGATTATTAGATTCAGAGGACGTCTTCCATTTTGAAGTTGTTGTTTCCAGGTTTCACAGCATCTAGTTGGATTCTCGCACTGGCCCACAGTGTCACATGCTTTCTGAACCCAGCCCTTGTGGTGTCATGTCACTTAGTCTGATGGGTGAACTCAGACAATCGTGGCTTATTCCACTAAATGTGGTGAAGCAAACCATGCCTTAGTATGATGTGTGACTGCAGCGTGTCACAGGGATGGTGTTTCAGAGCAGGAGAAACCGAAAGAATAAATGCAAAAACAACCCCAGGACCGTCCGGAACCTTTGCACCCCTGTTTGAAATATCCTGGGGACGTACATCGAATGACAGTAGGGTCTGGGGTGGGAGTTGTGCGTTTTCTATTTTGATTCTCAGGGTTGCGGGGGCAGCTACAGCTGGTAGAAGATTAATTTCTGTGGCCCCCACATTCTTTGTTTGACCTGCCTCAGATACATCCAAGCCGTAATCAGATGTGGCCTCTGCCATGCACAGCATGTGAACATCGTAACTGTTGGCCTATGACAAACAGTGCTCTATAATACCGTTCCCCCCTTCCCAAAATTGGTTCTGAACTCCATAGAAAGAACCCGCGTACTTGCTCTCTCTTCGCTCGAAGGTCAGGAGAAAGCAGAAGGCGGAATATCTCAGTGGAAACGTGATTTTTCCCTCCCCCACGGCTGCCCCACCGCCTTTCATGTTTTCAGACATAAAAATGAATGCCACCCTTGGCAGGAGCAGAAAGCGAGATCCAGACCTTGTGGAGCGCCAATTACAGTTAATTACAAAATGACTGAACTGTGTTTCAGAGCAAGGACCCCCCCCACAAACCCCACCAAAGCACCCTCTAATCATCCACTTTAAAGAATGGAGAATTGGAACGACTGGCACTCTTTCATTTTTACCCCTGCTCTTCTGTGCAGCCCGTTCTTGTCAATAACTGCTGAAGAAGAGGGCCGTGGGCCCTGTTTTCTCCGGCTGTAGGTTATCGGAAGCTGCTGTTGGACATGGAAGAAGGGCTGATTACCTCCGGGGACTCCTTCTACATCCGGCTCAACTTGAGCATCTCCAGCCACCTGGATTGCTGCTCCCTCTCGGTGAGATGTGACGAGATCCTGCACGTCCTTGACACCATGTACCAGGGGAAGTGTGAGTGGTTTTGTGCCAGAGTGCATCCCGTCACCAACAAAGACGAGGAAACGGGGACGGTCCCCAATTACAGCAGGTGAGTGCCCCCACCCAGGCACAGGGGAGCTCCAAGGGGCAGGGGTGTCCAGGGGATAGGGTCTAAAAAGTCAAGATGGCAGCCAGGATGAAATGTCACGGGAAGCTGGGGTGCTGCAAACCCAAACAACAGCCTCCATGATTGTCTGCATTGGCGAGTCTGTCTCTGGCCCCCAGGGGTGTTCTTCGGATGCCAGTAGAGGCGAGGCTGAAGCCAAGCCTTTGTCTGGGAGTTGTGACCCACATAGAGAAAGGGGATGGGCTTGCATTGCCTGATTGTGGCTACCACTGTCACTTTTTGGACCCCCTGTGGATGCCCTGCTACCCTCCATGACAAGGGGGTTTCCTTGCAGAGTTCTTGAGGTATTCCAAGAGCTCAGCCCTGGGAAAGCATTGTCCATCCCAAGGTGCTGTAGGCGTGCCAGCTCTTCTTTCTTTATAAAAGGCCTGCCTGGAGCTCGGTCCAAGCTGCTTCCACTTGGGCATTCAAAGGGAGCAAGAAGGGGCATAACAGAGGGTGGCCAGGCAGAGAGCTTTCCTTGGCATCATCGCCGATACCCCCCAACTCTCGTTTACAGAGCCCAGCAGCTGCTCTTAGTAAAACTCCAGCGACTTATGAACAAAGGAAACAAGGAAGAAGCAGACAGTGGCTATGGGATGTCACGGGTAAGTTCCCTCTGACTTGGGATGGTGATCTCCTTCACCCATCCGTCTTCCATCCCTTTGTGAGCTCAGGGAAATTTGGGCAGTTTTGCCTCTTGGATAATTCCCATTCATTCTAGAATAGGTCTTCCATCTACATTATTTATGGGTGGTTGACTTTGCTCTCGTCAAATCAACCTTCTCCAACTTGAGGGCCTCCAAGCATGTTGGACCTCTCTTAACATTCCCACTTATACATCCCATAAATCCACTTTGGCTTTATGGGATTTTGACCTATATATATATAATCATATATATAATCCTTCTTCCTCTTCCTCTTCTCTCTCTATTGCTGCACTCTTAGACTATGCTGCAGCCAGACGAACTCACATCCCCCAGTGACTCCAAAACCAGCCCTCGCCTCTCCCGAGCCAGTTTCCTTTTGGGCCAGATCTTGCAGGTAAAAAAAATATATGATCAGGGGCCACAGAGCCAAATTAAAGGAGTAGGTCTATCTCTCTGATACAGCTAAGTGGAACACATGTTGATGGGAGAAGTGCTGGTAGTGGTGGCGGTGGTGGATTCAAAGTTTGGTGGTCTTAGCCAGGCTGATGGGGTAATCTAGGTCTCTCACCTTTCCTCTCCCTTGGATGCAATCAACAACTTGGGGTCATCTCCATGAAATATTTCCTGTTTGCTGGCTGTCCCTGGGGAACCAGCTCTCCGTGGAGGTGAGCAGCAAAGGTCTTGATCCAAAAGCAGCCCAAGGCAAAATGATATGATCTAGACAAGGCAGGGGAGGACAGCTGGGGTAAGGATGGGGGCAGAGACTCAGTCTGGCCTTGAATCTCCTCTTGACTAAGCTTGAATCCGCTTCCAGTTTGTCAGCAGGTCTGAAAACAAATACAAGCGCATGAATAGCAATGAGCGGGTCCGCATCGTCACTTCAAAGGATACCCGGGTCAAATCGGAAGTGCACCCAGTGACAAAGGCTCTGCTTGAAAGATTTGAAGGTACAGTGGCATAGGGGTGGAGGGAACAAATGAAAGAGGCGTCTGGTCATTTTCTGGAAAAGGAAATCTCCAGAAGTATCAAGCCCCTAACAGGGGAGAGGGATCAGGGAGCAACAATCCCTTGGACCATCTTGACTTAAGTTTCATGTCCAGAATGAATGAAGGGCTAGGATGTAGAATTTGGGTGAGTGATACACCTCATTTATGGGTGATTGCCTTAAAGTGGGGTCTCCAGGAATTGTTGGAACCTCTTTTTCTTAGATTGCAAAGCTGAAGGACTAACTACCCATTTTCCAGTTGAGGCTGCCCCTCTTCGTTAGCAATGTTTTGAAATGCTCCTTTTTATTTCTCAGCCCCAATAAATTCAGAGGCAGGGTTGGTTCGGGAAAGAGAGAGAACTTCCCTGAATCCCAGGGAATATACAGTTTGCCAGGGATCCTGTATGATCTCTCCCCAGCTATCTGTCTGGAACAGAAGAAGCCGCCTATCCCATTCTTAAGTGTTTAAATGCCTTAACCACCTGCCAGAAGGACTCGGGAGGAGAGAGGACCTCAACCTCCCTTGAGGCACCACCACCAAAATGGCCCTGCTCTTATTCCCACCGATTACCTCTTCCTTGGTGTGGAAAAGGCTGTCTTTGCAGAAGAACCTTGAGCCCCTTTGGTTCCAACACTGTTGACTTTGCACATGATAATTAACCCCTTGAATCTGGCCCGGTTATACATCAGAATCAAGACCAATTCCAACAAGGTTTTATTTGATGGCCTTCGGCAAAAACCCACGTTTAGAATCCTTCTGAGAACCTGTACCTGGGGCACACTAATCTTGGGCATGTGGTCACGTGGGTTTTCTAACCCGGCTGACATTATTCATCCAAGTAGCAACCGGCATCTTGGTTATCCAATGTTCTTTTGATGGAATCAGTCTTTCTGCGGGCTGCCCGCTCTGTGTAGGGTTGTTTACAGTGGGGTAAATCTTCTTCCCCTAGAGTTTGATTCCGTGACTGAGATCAATAAGAGCTTCAGCCTGATCCCATACAGCTTAGTGAAACCTACCCACTGTGATTGCCGCCGCCCTGTCCTGTTCAGCCCCACGATGCTCGCCAAGACCTTGATTCAGAAGCTTCTCAACTCTGGAGGAGCCCTGGAATTCAACTTATGCAAACCAGGTGATCGTACAGTCCTTGTTTAAAGCCATTCTGTCTTATTCTAACTCAGTGTTTCTCCACCTTGGCCGCTTTAAGATGGGTGGACTTCAACTCCCAGAATCACGCACGCGAC